AGCTTATGTAGTCAGGGAAAAGGGCACCTTTCACCAAATGCAGACTCGATCCCGACCCCGACCCCTTCGGGTCATGGGAGCTGGCGTTGGGAGAGGCTGGTGGAGGACAGTGGGGTCAGTCCTGGCCTGGTGACTGCCTTCCCTCTTCACCTCCTCCCTTACGGAGAAAGCCTGGGAAATTATCACGGAAAGAAGCTTAATCAGGACATTAACTTTTCTAGTGTCTTATGACCCTCAGAAGCCCAGTTCTAAGGAGCGGCAGCTGCTCTGGCTGAGGGTCCTTCTTGGGTCATCACAGACTGCTCAGTTCTCGGGGAGAGAAAACACCATCAGAACCAGCTTCATCAGAACAAGCCCATCGGCTCTCTGGGCCTAGATTCTCCTGGCCTAACCTTGGGGTCTGTCACCAAACCCTCTTTCCTAAGAGCTGATCAAACCAAACATCAATAAACTCGAGCAAAGCTTTGTTGTGGCCAGGAAGGAGAAAGCGAATTGGCAAAGCTAACGGCCCAGGTGTGTGAGGGTGCTGGGGCCACCTTCTGAGTGTGTTTGTGAGGGCCCGGATTTGGGAACTCGGGTACTTGATTTGGGAACGGGAAGGATCTTGTCTACAAAAGAAGTCCTTGTCCAGGGACTTGTGTGTGTGTCACAGTCACCTCTGATGCCTTCATCTGGACACTGCCTTGAGAAACTCTGTCATCGGCCTAAGTACTTGTTTGCTCCGGAGGGAGGGAGGGAAGTCCCAGCCAACTTCCTGTAACCTTACTGAAAAGTAATCTTGATGCATTCCAGCCCGAGAAACCCAAAGCTGCTTCTGAGCGATGAGAGGAAAGGGCAAAGGGAAGGAGGCTCTTGAAATGGGAATTGAGTCGGCTTGAATTAAGTGTACCCCACCGTTGGTGGGGACAGGATTTGCACACCGACCACCTTCTAGCAATAATGTTTATCAGAAGTTCTAAATGTAAAGAGATTCCCTTTAAACCATCTCAAGCTGAACTCCTCCTCTGCCTAGCCTGCTGTCTGGCTCTACTCATGGGCTTGGGTAGTGTCTCCTGAAAATAAGACATGTTGGTATTTCCTCCTGTGCATTGAGCTACAGTCATGACCACAGTGCTCTTCTGCTGTGGCCACTGTCCTGGCCTCAGCACATCGGGGCAGCCTGTGCTGACCGCAGTGCTGGGGTGCCTGGGTCACCGCCCGAGGGGAGCCAGGGGTATTGCTGTGAGTACACTCTGTACATAATAAAAGTTCACACTTCTGGTGCGGGGAGTGAGGTAGGGGTGGAAGAGAGGTGAAGAGAAAGTGTACCTGACTTTTTGATAAGGAGAAAGGTGTTTACTCTTCAGCCCCTTAAAATGTATTAACAAATGTTTACTGAATCCATTGCTTTATTTTAAAAACATAATTTGTATTTTCTATTTGTAATACCAGATGTTTTAAGGCAATAAAAGATTCTTCAAGTAGTCTGCCTTGTCATTTGATGGGGCAGAGATGGCTTTTAGTAGTCCCCACGAGACTCGCACGTTTCTGAGGACTAAGGTTTGGGAAAGGCCAGGGTAGGAGGGGTGGGTCTGGGCTCAAGGTGCAGCTCCTTGGCCTCCATAGAAGTGGTGTTACCATCCTGGTCACCTAGGTTTTTTTTTAATGACAAGGCTGTAAAGGTTACTGTCAGCCTGCGTGGGATACTGCACCTCATGCCTAACACACGACCCTGACTGCTTCCCGTGCTGTGTACACATGAAGATGGTTCACTAAGTGTGGCTGCTGAGAGAGCCCACTGTCATTTCTGGCTCTGCTTCACAGGGTGGCAGAGGTGTTTGTTCTACAATCACCCCAGGCTCACACCAGCCTGCTCTGGCCGGAGTCCACAGTCTCGGCCCCTGCGGTTCTGTTACCATTTTTCTGCTGAACTGTCCTACTTACTGCCACTCTCCCTCCCAATCGCATTCACCTTATGGCTGTTACTTGGATGTGCTGCTGCCGTCAGTTTTCTGTACGTTTCTTCCCTAGAGAGTTGCACTGTGCCTGTGGCCTTCTGGCACCATATGTGTTAGCAGTTCTTAGCTGGAGAGAAAACGTTACCATTCTCCTCTAACTCATCTGGGAAAGGAGCCAAGCCTGGGCTGTTAAAGAAATGTAATAGTCATAGTGTCTGCTAAATACTCTATGTCCTCTTTTTAGATTCTTTGGGGTCTTTATTTTTCTGGAATCACACTTCTATGATGCATGCCTCAAGGATTCAAATCATCTTATGCTTCATTCATTCTTTCTTTTTTTTTTTTTTTTTTAAAGATTTTATTTATTTATTTTTCCCCCAAGGCCCCAGTAGATAGTTGCATGTCATAGTTGCACATCCATTCCAGTTGCTGTATGTGGGACGCGGCCCCAGCATGGCCGGAGAAGCGGTGCGTCGGTGCCCGCCCGGGATCCGAACCCGGGCCGCCAGCAGCGGAGCGCGCGCACTCAACCGCTAAGCCACGGGGCCGGCCCTCATTCATTCTTTCTTAGGTGGGCTTCATGGGGATCTCCATTCAAATGTTCACTCTCTGTAAGATCATTGCTTTTCTTACTGCCTCCTTTTCTTACCTGAATAGTTGCTAAGGGAAAGATAGTTCTTATCACTGGGCTATTTTTCTAGATGTGCTATCGTGGGGATGTGAGGGCTGGAATTGCTGCACCCACTTTTGGTGCCATAAAGGAAGCCAGCCTGAGGATGAAGCCAACACAGGAGGGCAGAGCTGAAAAGACTGGAGAAATGGAGCTGAGTCCTGATCAAACCATTCCTGAAGCCTTTATCCTCTTTTCAGTTTTGTGAGCCAATGTTAATGTTGTTTAAGCTAGTTTAAGGCAGATTTTGTTCCTTTCACCTAAAGAGCCTTAACTGATAGAGAATTCCCAATGCACTCAAGTATCAACTTCAAGCTTCTTATGATCCCTTACAAGTCTCCTGCCTTTCTCACCTATCTCCTACCTTCTACTTCCTAACTTCACCATACCATAGTTACACTGATCTTACTTCTTGAGCAGACTGTTCCTACCTTCCAGATGCTGCTCCCTCTGCCCTAAACGCCTCCCTCATATCTGAAGACATCTGCTGTCTGGGCATTCTGGTCTCAACTCAAACCTCACCTCCTCAGGAGGCCTTTCCCGATGATCTAAGTTATACCCTCCTCCCCATTTTGATCACAACTCCTTGTTTTCTAGAGTTCTTATCACTGTCTGAAGTTGTTCTCTCACCTGTTGGCTTGGTGATCATGTTTCCCTGATTACAAGGGCCACGGGAGCAGGGACATTGCCTGGGCTGTCTGTCTCTTTCCCATGTGTCTGGCAGGGAGTAAGTGTTTGATAAACACTTGCTGAAACAACGAATGGGCTCTCAAGTCTACACGCTGTGTGGGAGGGCCCTAGCCAGTGGGAGCCTCTCAGGGTTGTGTCTGGAGGCCCCCTGTCCACTCAAGCGCATTGTCCTGGGAGGTCAGTGCTCTCCTTTTCAGGGTCAGGCAGCTGTGTCTTCTGTGCTGCCTTGTTGTCTTTTCTGCCTCTGCTTTCTCAAGAATCTGTTTCTTCCTTAGGAAGAAAACAAGAAAGGGTCCTGACCATGCAGTTGTGAACTCAGAATCTTGAAGGTGAGGAAGGAGAGGAGGAAGAGTTGACTTTAAGAGAAATGAGCAAGTGACAAAAGGGGCTGGAGGCAGCCAGGTGTGCCTGGGTCCTGAGCTGTCCTCACTCTGGTGTCTTTGATCTGTGGAAAGCTGTGCTTCTCTTTCGCTGGGAATCAGAGGAGGGCACGAGCGCTCTTGGCTTAGGGAAGGTCAAAGTACAAGGACTGATCAGAACAGAGAGTTTTTCTATTTATCACAAAATTTGTTACATAAACACAGCTGACCAGAAGGTCTAAAACAGCTCCGACTCTTCCAACCCTGATCCACCTGTAGATACAAGGATGTGAGCCACGCTCACTCACAGAGGAGCCCTTCTCAGAACTGCCTGTCCCTCGGATGGTTCAGAGTCTTGGGTGCAGCAGCAGACAAGAGCCCAATGTGGGTGGACGACCTCTGAAAGCAGACCTTGGAGTCATCTGCTCTGGGTGAGGCAGCAGCTTTAAGTTTCACAGTTCACGTGTTGCCACCACACAAGTCACATCAAGGATTGAAAATAAAAGGAAAAAGGCAGAAGGCTGGAAAAGTGATCCTAGAAGAGGTGGAGGTGGGGGAACGGCACACAGTGGGCTTCGGAGGTGTTGGCAATTTCTTGATCTGGATGGAGGTACAGCGTATTCACTTTAAAATGATTCTTTACATTGTGCATACATGTTGTATGTTAAAAAATTTTAAATGTAAAAAAACCCCCAAAGGTAAAAGGCTAGACATGGATAAGGCGGCTGATGACAGAGCAGAGAAGAAGAAATTAAAGAGCAGAGAGGATGAAGGCAGAGGACAGTGAAGGTGGAAGCCGAAGTCTTGGAGGTGGTGGGGGTGGCCTCAGTTTCTCTTCTTCTGTCTGGATACTGGTTCAACTTCCAGGTACTGGAGCCCAACTAGCATTCCCAGGATTGAGAAACCTTGAATACAGAGAACAGCGAACAGACGTGAACACAGCGCTTTCTTAAACCCTTGTGGGTCTGCTCTCCGGCCCCAGCTCTAGGGCTGGGCCAGTTCCTGTGGGGGGTCTAGGGTGGTTGGATGCTTACTTGCCACCATCAGGGGTGCCAGGACGCCAATCGTGGGAGCCGCGGTCCCATATACAAACACCTCGGAGAGGAAGTGCCCCAGGGCGAGGAGGAAGGTCCAGAGCGTGAGGTGGTAGAGCCTGCAAGGGAGCAGACAGAAATGGGAACTGAAGGGCCTGCGTGCTCAGTGCAGAGGAAAAGGAGCCGTCAGACTGGATACACACAGAGAAAAACCCAGGCAGTGACTATGGCGGAAGGAAAAGAGACTTGGTCCTGAGAAAGACCTGGCCGCTTGATCACATCAGTTTATTCTCTACTGGGGCAGAACTGAAGGTTTCAATGGCTAAACTGAGAGCAGAATGGTCCCGGCTTCCAGAATGATCTCCAAGTCTTAGCAAGGTGGTGAAGCCAGCTACAGCAAAGCTGAGTCTGGACGATGGCAGTCCCAGGCAGTGTAGACGATTTGGGATCAGTCACGCTTACATATTCTCCTTACTCAAATTGGCTTGCCTCTGTAGTCGAAGCCCACCCGGCAGATGTTTGGCCAGGGGCTGGTCAGTGCTCCTGTCATGGATACCACAGAATGCAGGGCCTGAACGGGGGATGATCAGCAAGGACCTCTCTGGGCCTGTCAGATGCTCTCACAATGTGGGCTGGTTAATCTGTGTCTCAGCCTAGGACAATGGTGAGGTGGAGGACACAGTGACAACCTCACAGGAAGAGAACTTGTTCCTCGGCTTTGATAAAGAGGTGGGGAAGAGACAGGTTACAGGGTGATCAACCGCCTGGACTGCTGCTATCTTTTTTTTAACTCTGAAATTTTTAAAATTATGAAATACTTCAAACATACAAAAAATTATAGATAATAAAATACTATAATTAACCCCTATGCGACCAGCACCTGCTCCATCAAATCTGAACATTTTGACATTTTTGCTTCAGATACTTTTTTCTAAGAAATAAAATATTACAGGTATCAGTTAAAGCATCCTGTGTATACTTAGCCCATTCTCCTGTCCCCCCGGCCCCCTGCTCATTGAAGGAACCGATATCTTAAATTTGATTTTTGTCCTTCCTGTCCATGTTTTTACACATTTAGTAAATATGTATGTATGGGAGTTGATTTTGAGTTTCTAGTTAGGAAGGGAATAGAATCAGAGTGCACAGCAGAAGTGCGTGGACCAAAGTCCCAGGCTAAATGAGGCTGGAAACAGAAGTCAGCCCTTTGCTGACTGTGCAGCTGTCCTGTGTGGGAGAAGGAAAAATGAATGGGTAATAGAGGTAAAAATAAGTCTGAGCTGTCTTTGCTCATTGCAAAAGCACAGGAAACAAAAGATATATCCCTGATCCCTATCAGCTTTTCTTCATCATGGTAAAGGTCTTTCAAATGAGTATTCAATCCTCACTCCCTCCCCGTCACTCTGAGAGGAGGACAGATACACTAGTCTCACTTCATACATGCAGAGACGGATATGCAGAGAAGGTCTATAATGAACTTGCTGCTACAAAGCTTGTTACATACATAACTGAGACGAGAGCCCATTTTCTAGTTTTCATTTTCACGCTCCAGGCTGTTTCCACTAAACCACGCTGTTTCCACTAAACCACACTGCTTCCAGAAATACGTGTCAGTCTAGAACAAATAAACCACAGTTTTCAAGTTCAAAAGAGAAAAGTATTTTAAAAATAAAGTTGGAGAGATCGCAGGGCTAATAGCGCTGCTTCAAATCCCACTGGAGTCAGTCTTCCTCGGTTTAAATTAATTGGGTCTCTAATACATAGATCTGCAAACCTGGAATGAAAATCACTACCTCCCAGGGCTGCTAGGAGGAGACTTAATCAAGGTCATGTGGATGAAAGCATCCGGCATAATCAGAGGGGTCAGTACCGTTACTTCCTCTCTTCCCCAGATGATGAGAGTTTGGGTAAGACAGAAAAATGTTTTAGTGTGAAGTTAGCGTTGGTGGCCTCACTCAGTGACCTGAGCGAACATTCCACTTCACTGTGGTGATGACTGTTGCTGGGAAGAGAGCTCGAGCCCCCTCCAGTGGCCCCACCAGTTACAGCATTCCCTAGAGGAGGCTAGACTGCCTGCAGTTGCTCCACACTGGTCTCCTTGAGTACCTCGAGAGGCAGAATACAGGGGTCCCCAGTTCTCTGTCACCCTCACTGACTGAGTCTGCTTAAGCGTAAAACACGTTACTTCTGGGCTGGTTTTTTCAGGATCGTGATTTCTGGTCATTCCTGCTTATTGAGGAGGAATGTGAGAATAAGGTATGTGTGGGTGGCTGCTCTAAAAAACAGCACGCCACTCTACTCCTTCAGTAGAAGAAAGGCTGATTCCTCAGTAACAAAGTAGAGGGATATGATGCAGGCCACTGGATCACCACACTACTACTTTGCTATGTCAGTTCTGAAGAATTGTCAAACTTTAAAGAACCGTTAGTTCTACTATGTTTTTAGACCTGGAAGGAATGGAACCTATTAACCTTTCATTTATTTATTTTTGTGAGGAAGATTGGCCCTGAGTTAACGTCCAATGCCAATCCTCCTCTTTTTTTGCTGAGGAAGACTGGCCCTGGGCTAACATCTACTTTATATGGGACGCCGCCACAGCATCGCTTGACAAGCGGCGTGTCGGTGCGCGCCCGGGATCTGAACTTGCGAACCACGGGCCGCTGCAGTGGAGCGCGCGCACTTAACCGCTACACCACCAGGCCAGCCCCTATTAACCTTTTATGATCCACATTCTAGGCTAATGCGTCTCCAAGGGGAGGACCACAGTGAGTATGCTTAGCACTTGATTTCCAACAGAAAGATGCTAAAGCTCCTCCTTCCCTTACATACGTCTTGTTGTGGATGTCGATGGCACAGATGCAGCGAATCACTGATGAGAGCAGCGTCCAGATCCCAAAGGTCCGAGCTTGGAGGCCATTCACTGTGTAGCAGAAAAAAGTAAGACTGTTGAGAAGGGGAGGAGTAGGGCTCCTTCCAGACTCCTCCCACGTCACTGGTGGGTCATGGGAGGCAGGGAGCTGGGCCTGAACTCCCGCTGGCTGGGCAGAGTGGAAAGAGGCACTGGTGCTGCACATGGAAACTAGAAGGAATGGAAGGAATTCCAGAATGAGAACTGCTCAGCTCCTCTTCAGATGTCTACAGTTGGGTGGGGGAGTCCCAAGAATAGAAACTCGACAAAGAGCCACTTAGGCAATAACTCCTGGATGTAGTAGTTTAAGCTTCTGCCCTGGAAGCCACTCTGGTGTTGAGAAAGCCCAGCAAGTCTGGATCAGGACAGGTGTAGGGCCCTGCTCGAACAGGGCCTATGTGCTTTACAACAGCCATGCGTCCCTGAGGCCCCTTGTCTGGACTAGGAGCCAGCACTCATGATAACAGTCCTGGGCTTGGCCAAGGCCAAGCTATCTCGTGGGATAGCTAGCACAAAGACTGCTGCGGTCTGAGGGAACATGGGGGCACTCCAGGGGGAGCTCTCGTCCTTAGGAAGGCAAGTCATAGAGGGACAGTCCCCCTTGACAAGCCTGCAGCCTTTGTTCCTCTGCCTACTTAAGCAAGCTTCTCTCAGGGGGTGGGAGCGGTGTGCAAATCTATGTCCAGTCACCCATCCCTGGACTCTCCCTGTACGTAAGTCCTAATAAATCTTTATGTCTCGCCTGCTGTCTCTTGAGGCGTTTCTTTGGTCTCTGGGCACAATACCCCACTGTCTTAGCCCACCTGGGCATGAGGCCAAACAACAGGTTTGGAGGAGTATTGCAGAGTGGTCTGTCAATACAAGATGCCTAATAGGTCAGCTGATGTAGGAGAGAACTCAGAAATACTGGGACCTATCTCGATACCCACATCTGGTCTTTAAGAGACCTAAGTCCCTGGGTCTTCTCCTGAATCCAGATCTATATTATTTGAACAGAGCCCAAACCAGGCTGGTTTCCTGTGCATGTGGTGGTGGGACAAAGCACTGTTTCTTTGGTGTTTTCCGAGGCCACGGTGCTCTTGGTGGCTTCGTTCTGATACTGCTGTATTAAATATCTTGTCCTGAAAGTATGGATCATATTCTACTGTAATAGTGGTTCTTGAGCCTGGGCGTTTGTTAGAATCAACCAAAGAAGTTTTATAAAATTACCAAGACCTGGGTACCAGACCAATCAAATCATACTCTGGAGGTGGGCCCTGGGCATAAGTATTTTCTATAACTCTCTCCCTGGGTGACTGTAACATACAGCTGTTGATCTAAGCCATCCAGTGGTCAGGAATTTCAAAATAGTGAAAGCAAAGATACTTCCTGTGCAGGTCTATCAAGCAAGAGAAATTTCAAGGGACAAGACTGAAAATGGAAAGGTCTATTAATGTTTACTTAGGCTTTAAGGATTTTCCAGCTTTTGGAAAACTAGACAGTGATACCAGTTGCACAACCCTGAAGACCTTTAGATGGTAGTAAGGTGAGAAAAAATTCCATCTGCCAACCAAATATCTAGGGGTTAGCCCTGGAGAGCTACATTCTTTATAAACCAATTTGATAGCTTTTCTGATGAAAAGACTGAGGAAATTTCTCTACTTAGTGAGATATGAAAGTGGAATATTTCAACAACCCAAAGGAGATTAGACATCAGGTGAAATTCTACGGGATGCTCCAGAGCACGGCTATGACCAGCAGAGAACCCTGACAGCCCCCAGATCACGAGGGAGGAGGCAGCCTCTACTCTGGGCTGGAGACAGACACACACAGTTGTTTTGCTCAGCTACATGCCCTTCAAGCAAGTCACATGACCACTGGGCTTTTCTGTCTCTACTTGAATTCAAAGGGCTACACCAGATGACCTAAAATCCCGTGAATCTATACAGGGTTCGTGGACCACCAGAAGGCAGTGTTTGAGGGTGAAAAAGTGGAATTGTCCTGCCCAGCTTTCCAGGTTCTTGACTCCTACTGTATTTGAGCTTTGTTCAAAATGAGCCATAGCCTACTTAGTTTCATTTTATACACAGATGTTGTGGAAAATGAGCTAGGTCAGTGCCTGAATCTGGGTTAGCTATAAATGTGACACGGACTCGTCAGCGCTGTGAGGTGGTGCTGCAGCTCAAGTGACCCCCCGCAGCAACGCAAGGGAGTGCATGCTGAAACGTGAAGATGCCCTCAGCAGAGGCTCAGGAAGCTGGGAAGGCCACCGTGGGCCTTCGGGAGCTTCACTCTGGGAGACCAACTTGGAGGGATCTGGGTGCCTTCTCAGGGCCCAGGTCACAGTTTGAGAAGACCTTGGATTAGGAACTCTCCATCTGCAACATGGAATATAACCACGTGGGCCGTGACCTGATTTCTGAAGAGGGCTGGATAACATGCAGAGCTTCCTCATGGCTTTCCAGTGGGGCCTCACAGAGTCACCAAGGACCTCTATTTCCTCACTTGTGTGTGTAATGCTTTTTGTACAGACTAATTGCCTAGGGCAGTGTGAAATGGATGAAAGGGTATTCAGAGAAGCCAGGGGGAAAGGGGCCAAGTGCTCTCCACAGTCTTTATTCCAGTGACTGCCAAAGGCTAGATTAGGCAGCATCAGAATCACCTGGGAAGTTTTTAAAACACAGCACCCAGGGCCCCACCCAGGGGGTCAAAGATTCAGTAGATAGGTTGGGAGAGGGAAATGGGCACCTGTGCTTTGTTTGTAAGTCTTCTAGGTTATTCTGATGTACAGCTGGGTCTGGGAACCACAATTTAGGCCACTCGCACAAAGGATGCAGTTCTTCGATTTCTTACCGAGCTCTGGCTTGCCGGTGTAGAGCTTTTCATAGAGAAAGGTGTGGTCTCGGAAGCTCTGCAGCGTGTTCCCCATGGCTATGATGGAGACCATAACTAGCCAGCTTCGCAACACATTCAGGAAACGGCTCATGGCTCCCCTCACACCAGACAGGGCTTTTTGCCTTGGAAACAAAGGCAGAGGACATGAGACAACAGATGGTTAGTCTACTGCAACCATAAGCTCTCTCACCTCCGTAGTTAAACTGTGCCCCACTCATGAGGGCTGTACTGACCTTACTTGATCAATCACTTCATAAATTCCTCTCCAAGTCCCCTAGGATCTTCCACCCCCAGGGATTTTTCTTTCCTTTTTTTTTTTCGGTGAGGAAGATTGGCCCCGAGCTAACATGTGTTGCCAGTCTTTCTCTCTCTCTATCTCTTTTTTTTTCCTTGAGGAAGATGGTCCCTGAGCTAATATCTGTGTCAATCCCCCTCTATTTTGTATGTGGGACACCACCACAGCATGGCTCGATGAGCCGTGTCTAGGTCCACGCCTGGGATCTGAACCTATGATCCCTGGGCTGCCGAAGTGGAGCGCTCGAACTTAACCAATACACCACTGGGCTGGCCCCCACCCCCAGTGATCTTGACACACTTCCCTTACTTCACAAGGTTAGCACACTGCCTTTGAATATCTACCTTAAACCAAAATGTGCTGAAGTTTACCCAGAGTGAAAAGGCTAAATAATGCAGTGGGTGGAAATGACAACAGCAGTGGAAAAAATGGAGAGAAGAAAGGGAACAGAAGCAAAGGAGTTGTACAAATATTACTACAAAATAACACATGGACTTCCGTGCAAGACTTACAGAAACTGCTCTCAATATTTAGTCACACTAATAGTAGTGAACCAACAGTATACTCTGTAACAAGTGGCACAGGACTTATTTTTGTCTAAGCAATTTCTCCAAAATACTAGCCTAAATCAGAACTTTTTCTCTTGGCTGGAGTCAGTCCTCTTCTATCTTTATTTGTAGCCTGGTTTGTCACGCCATTCCTTTGTAATGCAAGTGGTTCAAATCTGCTAACAGATACCTGCCTGGCTACTGACGACAGATCCTTCCAAGCACAGAGAAGCCTTATGCATTTGAGTGGAACCTATGGTGTGAGGCCCATATTTACATCCTCGGCTCTTCTCTACTCTGGTTCTCAGGTACACCATGCTCCATAAACTAGAAGAACAATCTAAAAGTTAAAAATAAATAAACTGCTGTGACTTGAGAACTAGTAAGAAAATTACATGGAGAAGGAAACAGCAATATTGGTGTTGGGTTACAAGAGAAATGATAATAGCTTACAGTTATTGAGCACTCATGTGTGCCATGCAGTGCAAGCACCTAACATATATTATCTCATTTAATCCTTAAACAAGGTAGGTAGGCACTATTAATATTTACATTTTTACAGAAGAGGGTTGGCACAGAGAGGTTAAGTGATTTGCTTGAGGTTACACAGCTAATATATGGCAGAGCTGAGATACATGGTCTGTTGGGCTTGGTATTGCAATACTGCCTCACTGAGAATACTTTGATGAAGTTTCCATTTTTGAGGAAGACAAGCAGACCATCTCCATTTCTGTCTTCAAGTTGTGTAGAAGATACAACTAGGTTACATACTTTTTGTTTTAAAAAAAAGAAAAGCTTAGATCAAACCTTGGTGAGCACTGATTTCAATCAGCTTGATTTCAATAAAATCCTTGCAGATAAAGAATCTAATAATGGAATTACTTCTTCCCAGCTTCATTATGTCTTTTTGGCCCACAGTTTATCTGTTTTGGGTTAACTTCTTGGGCCTGAAGTGGTGATAAACCATCAGGCCTCCTTTGTTACTGTGGCGGCAGGAGTCTCAGGAGGGTCCTACACTACCAGCTGAAACAGATATGAAAGTCAGCAATGGCTCTAGACAGTGAGAAGCATCAAAAAGCAAACAAAAATGAGCTCTAGAGGAGGATGGGTGAATAGATGACACCTTCAGGGACGGTGGCTCACAAAAGGGGACTTTGTCCAAGTCCACAGAGAAGAGGGCTCTACTGGCAGGTGCAGCATGGGCCAGGATCCCTCCATCCTCCTTAATTTCTCGCCCTCCCTCAATAGGAGACTCAGGCTCTTTCCTCCCAGGGTCAGAAAAGCTCCATGGATGGCCCCCTCTTTGACAATCTTATGTCCATTTCACAGAAGGTCTTAGAAATCCCAACACATAGCTGATGAAGGCAGAACTTGATCACTCTTCTGAACTGCTCTTCCAATCCCTCAACACCATTTCCCTAAAGCTTGAGGGCCTCCTGGAATATCCAACAGCTATTCTCAAATTTTGCCCTGGCCCAGCCCAGCAAAGGTGTGGTGTTAAGACTAGAGTCAGAAGAGAGAGATTCCTCTCCTGATCCTACCATTTAGTAGCTGTGTGACCCTGGGCAAGTAAGTTACACGTTACACTCTAGGTTTCCTCACCTGCAAAATGGAGATGAAAAATAATAATTACATGAGCAAGTGGAGGTTGCACCGTGCTAGGCTCACAGTGGCCGCTCATTAGTTCATCCATTCAATCGTTCCCCGAACCTACCAAGCCTTCATCTTCCTAGCTCCCCCTTCTCGTGGTCTCTCGAACCTCTTTTCACTCAAAAGATTGCCTTCCAGGTATCTTCCTTCCATCCCACCTCCATTTTTCCAGACGCTCCGGAACCTTTCAATCAGATGCCACACACACCCCTACATCCGTCTTCTTCCCCACATTCTCCTTACCTGGCGACTGTAGCCCCAACCCAGCAGCAGCAGCTGCAGCAGCAAATAAGCTGCCCCGAGACCGCTCCAGCCGGAGTCCACCTGAGCCATTTGTCCCCGCCCCCGCCCTCACCCGGCTCCAGGATTGGGTCGTTTCCGTCTGTCCTCGCTGTGATTGGCTGTCCCGGTTCTGCTCGAGCAGGAGATGGGGCGTGAACCCTTTACTGCCAATCAGCGGTTGCCGCTGCCCAAGCCCTATCTCTGGGACGCCGCTCACGCAGTGAACCATCCTGTCTAGAGAGGCGAATGAACTCCGGTTTCGAAGTCCACCTTTTAGGGGCGGAGGAAAAAAGAGCGGCACAAAGAAATCGAGTCTCTTCCGCTGAGAGGAGGGCTCTGCGACCGCGCTGCGCCGCGCCGCCGTGACGACATCCTTCCGCGCCCGAAGCCGAGCGTCCTCAGCGGCGGGTGGCGGGCGCCTGCGCAGTGGCTCCGAGCGGGCGGTTGCTTGCTGGTTGTTGTAGTAACGGGGGAAGCAGCCGTCAGCGGCTGCCGTGAGCCCGGCTGGGGAAGGAGGACGGAGGTAGGCGAAGAGCGCGGTCCCCGCCTGCCCGCCCGAGCCATGGGAAGATGAGACGGGTAAGCGCCTGCGTCCGCGCGCCCCCCTGCCGAGGGAGGTGCGCTCCCGGGTCTGGGCGGCCCCGGCGGCTGCGCTTCCTTCTGAGTCCGGGAGCAGCTGGTGGCTTCCGGGCGCGCCGGGCTGAGTCGCGGCGGCGGAGTCGCCCGGTCCTTCCCCTGGGGAGCATCTGCGACCTGCCTGGGGTTGGGGTGAGCCGAGGTGGGGCTGAGGGGCTGATCCCGTGAGGGCGAGGACGCTCCTGGGGCGAGTGTCCTTAATCTTCTTCCGATCGTCCTGTCTGTCCCCGCTCTGCCGGCGGCCTGGGACGGGTCGGCACCCCTTCCTCGCTTGGAGATTTTGTTTTGCTTTAGCTTAAAGGACATCCCAGCATTTTGGGAGAGATCGAGAAATCCCGTTGGGAATCCTCGGAAGAACGCCTTTGAGGTGGTTAGATCTTCAGCCCATTCCGCTGAAGATCTGTAGGGATCGTTATTGGGATTGGCGTTTTCTTGTCCTGTTTACAGTCTAATCTTATTGTGTATATGAATGGATAGAAAAGGTTTGGAAAGATTGACATCAGGTGGTTATCTCTGAGTAATGTGATTATGGTCATTTAAATATTTTCGTTTTCTTTTTCTGTCATTTCTATTCGTTCCTCAAACACACGTAATGAACATGTACTTTTTCCCTATGGAAAAAGTATTTTAGGTTAGAAATATCTTAATTTCTCGTCTATTTGAGATTCGGATTATAGTTTCTGATTTTTAGTAAGAGAGAATAAGTTTTGAGTGTTTGGAAGGACAGTTTTTTTCCCAGCTATTTATGACCTCGATTGAAGAGAACTATATTAATCTTTTGGTTCCATGGTTGAATTTATTTTAGTGGAAAGATGAGGGCATTTTATCTGTGTGCTTGTCATAGAGTCTAAAATATTTTCAAGGATCTTAAATCTTGAGTTTTTATTTTTAACCTAGGTCAGGTTTTTCTAACAAGCAGTCTGTTTTTGGTTGTCATCTACTTACCTCAGACTTACCGAAAAGTTAAGTAAGTCTATCCTTTTGGTGCATGTTAGATATAGTATATAAAAGAAAAATGAGAAACTCGAACTTAATAACACCTCTTTAAATACATAGAGGACAGACCGTATGTTTGGAAAATAATCCTGATTTTTCTGGCGTATGTGAGGGACTGTGATAGAAGGAAAGCTTCTAGAGGCTGGGCACCATTTAGGTAGATATTCATTTTTATTACTTGAAGATTATCAGCAATAATCAACAAATAGACAACTGTATTATGTTTCAGATCATTTGGCTTTCTTATAGGAAACTGTGCCACCCAAATTGATTGATCCAGTGAATCTGCAAGGAAAGGTCTCTGAGGCCCCCGTCTGCTGACTGTATGACAACCCCTAAAGGAAATGCCAGTCGTGATGGCCCGGGACCTGGAGGAAACAGCATCATCCTCAGAGGATGAGGAGGTGGTAAGCCAAGAGTAAGTAATAGCAAGCCTGCTTTTGACCCTTTGCCTCTAGGATGGAAAATAGTTCTCTTTTACTCATATACTCTTTTACCGAATATCCTTCCTTTACTATTGTCTGCCTCTGGTTTTAGCTTCTATCCATGATCTAATTCAAGATCTTATTGGGTTCCCAACAGCTAACTGACATGAGATAAGGCTCTGGGCTCGTAAGTGAACTTGGGCTCATGAATGAACATCGGTTCTAGATGTTGCAGGTAGTAGCTCTTAGTAAAAACTCTTAATCAGAGCTCCTACCATAGGAGATTTTGAAATTTTTAGATATTGAAGAAAAATAGATCTCTAAACTCTGTGACATTGGTTCTGTTATTTTCTCAAAAGCCTTTACAGTGGTGGAATGATGATAATATAGAGAGGTTAGGTGACTTCCCAGAGTAACTGTGGGGCAGGACATTAGAATTCTGTAGCCTGTGCTGTGTCTGTTGGACCATGTTGCTTTCCTGAGTTCTTTTAGGTAAGAGTCATGTTTCTTGATTGCTGGATTCTCATGATAATAAAAATGAATGATAGTGATAAGTGCAGCTGCTATAGATGATGGTAGGGACTTGAACTACTGTATCTCATTTAATCTGAAGATATTTTTGTTCCCACTTTATTAAACTCAGTCTCAGAAATATCAGAGTACTTCTGTAGGGACACATAGAGTAAGTGAAGGATTGAAAACTAGTGACCTAGTTTTCCTGGATTTTGAAGCTCTTCCGTATTTTGCCTCCTTTAACATTATTACTTGGGGCTGGCCCCATGGCTTAGCAGTTAAGTGCTCACGCTCCGCTCCTGGTGGCCTGGGTTCGGATCCCGGGCGTGCACTGACGCACTGCTTTTCTGGCCATGCTGAGGCCGCATCTCACATACAGCAACTAGAAGGATGTGCAACTATGACATACAACTCTCTACTGGGGCTTTGGGGGAAAAAAGAAAAAAGGAGGAGGATTGGCAATAGATGTTAGCTCAGAGCCGGTCTTCCTCAGCAAAAAGAGGAGGATTGGCATGGATGTTAGCAAAGACCTGATCCCAAAAACAAAAAAAAACAAAAACAAAAAAACATTATTACTTGACACAGAGAACAAAGAGAGAGACTGGCTTAAAGTTAAGATTAGTTTTTAAGATTCTCTGTGAGTCCCCTAGGATATGTGTGTGTTGTCTAACCTGAGAAATGGGGATAATATCTCCCAGGCTATTTTGTAGGGCTATGCTTAGGATCAAATAGAAGAATGTGTCTGAAATTACTTTGTAAATTATAAAGTGCGCTACAAATGTAAGGCATTATTCTAACTGGCTTTAGTATTGAATGTAAAGAGGACTTTTTATTATAAAGTGGAAGATGCCATTATTTAATATGACTTGAAAAAAATTATTGAAGCATTAAGAAAGCTTTGGGGAAAGGCTTCTTATCACTGGTAGGTTGCAGAACGTAATAGAGACTTGACAATATATTTGGGTCGTTCTTATTCAAGATAATTAAATGGATAATTCCCTCTGGCCACTTTGCCTTCTCATGACTTTTGCGCTCTGTGTGCTGCCTCTTACCCATTTTACAAAATTTTTAACTTCTGCTGAAAGCATCCGTCTTTCTGATTTCAAGGTCATTTTTTTACTTGTGAATATCTCTCTAAATAGTGGGCTTGGAGGTTAGGCCCAACAAGTATGAGGTTGAACTGTATAAAATTGCCATTTTGGTAAGCAATGAATGAATAGATGCTTTATGCTTTAGATCACCTTAGATCCAGGGATTCTTAACCTTTTTAATGCCGTGGATCCCTTATCAGAATAATATTTTTAAGTGCTTAAAATAAAATACATATTACAAAGAATACTAATTACATTGACATGCAGTTGTCAAAATTAAAAAAACAAACTTGTGATATAGTAATATGTGCTTTCTTATTGCTACATTAAATAACAAGATCATTCATGTAAAACATGGGAAAGTTAAATTTTATTTTCTGAAGACAGCAGCATGAAGACTGTTTTTGCTTAGTTTGCATAAAATCATCACACTCTGGGGTGGTCTTTGATTAACACTTATAAGTGGGGAATACTGGGAAGCATCATAGATGTCTGGACCACCAATGTGAGATGTGACCATTTGGTGGCTTGAGGCAGAGTTGCCAGATCATTGTCCAGCCTCATCACAGCAGAGGAGGACGACTGTGATCACAGGTGATCTAGTGGCAAGTTTAATATCTACCATAACTTAGAGGTAGTGATAAATGTAAATGACATTTTGAGATATTAACAACTGTAAAATGGTATAAAAAATCTATAATTTCAGATACAGTCAGTGACACAGATAACGCTAATACTGCTGTGCTTTGTTGCCTATATTCATAATTGAGAAATGTTAAATTTGTAGTAGAAGTTAGTAAAATGAAGGTGTAATCCCCACTATCCCCACAATCCAAGTTCATGGACCTTTTGCTCTTCTTCTTTTCAAAGTCCTGCTGTTGCTTTTTGACTGTTAATCTCATTCCGTCAGCTTATGTCTTGTCTATCAGACACTTGTTTTATGCATTAGGAATCTTAAGTCAGTCTTGTTCACACTTGGAGCAGTAGGCTAACATTTAAAAAGTCTTGGGGGCCGGCCCCGTGGCTTAGCGGT